TAAATGAGGATGTTATAATTTCTTTTACTAATCAAAGTTGAATATAATTTAGGATCAAACACTAACATGATATACGGCAAGACATAACTTAATGGTGACTCGAAGTTATAATATACTTTATAATCGCATTTATGAATAGTTCTTAATTGGCTTATTAATTTCATCCCAATGATCACTTCTCTGTTGTCTCCTGATGCATCAAGTTTGGGTGATATCAAGGAGTTAAAGAAGAATAAGGAGAGACCAAAGAATGTGTTTGCATCAATGGTTTGACAAGAGACACAAGGCTGTACCTACAGAACTTGAGGTGAAGCAACAAGAAACAAGAGGAAACATATATGTATCAAACAAGAGGAGCACAAGAAATGTTACAAGATAAGAGAAGATTAACAAAAAGTATTGTCCATCCCAAGTTTTGTTATGCATGACTTTCCATTATGTGTTTCAGTAGGTGACACTTGATTTGCTCATTTTGGTAAAATATGAAGCCATCATCATCCTACAACTTGACAAATTAATCACATGCTGCACAAGGCAATAACACAAAATTCCAAGTTCACATTTAGATGATATGAAATGATAAAATAGGTGGTAGAAAAGCTCAATTATTGGCAATTTATAATCCTCTTTGTCAAGGATGAGGCTATGAATATCCACCAGTCATCCAACCCATCATAATCCAACCATCCTCTATCCCTGTATGTTCTGCTCCAACTACAAGTGAGGAGGAGGAAACTGAAGAAAGGAGGAAGTAAGGAGATACGATGGCTCTCAAGTTGTGGGCTTCTTCTACTGCCAATGCACTCAGGATCTCCTGCAGTAGCAGCAGACCTGCTTTCCCTGCTTTCTCCATCTTTAGGAGTTTCTCCTCCGGTAAGAAACTCTTACCGCCTGCAGCATCTGCCCTTCACTCCACTGAGAAGTGTTCTTCAAGGATGTGGGATTCTTCTCCATTTGCATGGAGAGAGTTTGCAGAAACTGAATGCATTCTGTGCCAGCTTGTTCTCTCGGAGTCCTCACTGAGAACTTCATCAGTGAAGACTGGTTAAACAATGAAGTATGTTTTGCATTCTATATCAAAGAGATATCATGAGAATTGTCATGTTTGACTGCAGTTATCGAAGGATTGAAGTATACTGGTTCTCACGAGTGGGTGAAGCAGGAGGGATCTGTGGCGACCGTCGGCATCACCGATCACGCCCAGGTGCTACTAAAACCTTTTTCTCCTGCATCCAAGAACATATTTGGATCTCATTTTTTCTGCTTTCCGAGTGGCTTCTCAAAATTTTAGTCTTTTTCATTTTAATGATAAATTCTGTACAAAGTTTGTCCAAAATGTAATGGAAAAAGTTTTGTGCTGAAAAACACCCTTAATTAATATAATCAATAATGAAAACGAATTAAAACATAGTGAATTTTTTTTTTACCTAGTTTGATACCTTCTATTTATATTCACAAAGAAAACTTAAAATTTTTTACTCTTAAACATAACAAAGTACAGTGAATAAAATTCTCCTAAATCAATCCAATCCGAAAACTTAAAACCTTCTGTTTATTCTTCCATATGAACTTGATAATTTTTCCTCCATCTTTCGAGATAATTAGAGAAGTCTTGGGATAATATGGAGCAATCAATTTTTAATTTTCAAGAATTTCCAATCTTTCAAAATTTAATAGAGAAAAATCTTCAATTTTTTTACCAAACTAATATCAAATTTTTGGTGACACACACACACACACACACACACACACATATATATATATATATATATATTACATATATACACATATATATATATATATGTATATATATATATGTATATATATATATATGTATGTATATATATATATATATATATATATATATATATATATATGTATGTATATATATATATATGTATATATATATGTATATATATATGTATATATATATATATACACTATTTAGGTAATTTATCCTCCATACTGCTTGTTTTCATTTAAGAAATTTAAAAATACTTTCCAGCGTCAACAGCACCAACCTTATTATGTGGATGAAAAAAATTGCCAGGCTATTGCAATTGACTGCTACTATTTTCTTGTGGAGAGAGAGAGAGAGAGAGAGAGAGAGAGAGAGAGAGAGAGAGAGAGAGAGA